TTGACAATCTACTAAGCTTAAATCTGAGTCAGATAAATAACCTCAAAAATAAACTTGCCAGAATTCTTGCCTAGTATTTTTAAGTGAAAATTTGAATTTTTCTTTAGATAAATGCCTCGACCCTCTGTCGTGTTCTGGTTTACACCATGTTCCTCTGGTTCTCCAACTGGAGCTTTACGAATTCAAAAATCTTAATTCAGATACATATTCTTCAAATTATCGTTTTAGGAACTGTAGCTTTGATGTAATTAATAATGAAATTTCTAGGGTAGACTGGGACTCTGTTTTTGTAGGGACCGACGTTGCCGATTGTTTCATTACTTTCAGAAATAAAATTAATTAAATCTGCAGAAGCTATATCCCGCTAAAGAAAAAGAACTGCCATAAGATTCCATGGTTTACTAAGGAACTGAAGAAAATTAAGAACATAAGGAACAGATTTTTTAGAAAATATAAGTGTTCAAATTCGCTGCAACACAAGGAAAAATATCTGTGCTATGCGAGTAAATTTTAATCTCTAAGTAAGACCCTACATAGTAATTATATTGCCACATTTGAACGTGACATCAAACTGAACCCTAAAGCTTTTTGGAGTTATGTCAAGTCAAAGAAAACGTGTTCAATTATAACGTCACAAGTTTTTTATAATGGTACCCATGCTCAATCTTCTTTAGAGGCTGCTAATCTTTTTGCTGACTTTTTCAGCTCAAATTTTGAGCCCGAATCGGATCTAGGTAATTTTTCTATTTGTACCACTGACTCTCTCATCAATTTTGGTGAGTTATATCTAACAATAGATACTGTAATTGATGGCATTTTGAAACTCAAAGCATCATTCCAATCTGATGTAGATGGTTTCTGTTCTTATCTATTTCAGAATTGTTCTGCGATTGCTTACCCAATCTTATTAATCTTCAACAAGTAACTTGAAGTATATTGACGCCTGGAAAGTTATCTCTATTACACTCTTTTTTTTTTTAATGGTAACAAATACAACATTGCCAACTACCGACCAATTTCTAAACTATCAACAATCTCCAAGTTATTCGAAATCATAGTTAAGGAAAAGATGTACTTTGCTGTCAAGAGTTTGATCTCAATTAATCAGCATGGCTTCATGCCGGGCAGGTCAACTATAACTAATCTTGCGTTTTTTCTGAAGTCTGTCTGTCGGCTTTTCGCAATCAAGCACAGGTTGGTACCGTCTATACTGACTTTTCGAAAGCCTTTGACAAAGTCAACGATTCAATCTTAGTGTGTAAGCTAGCTAATCGGGGCTTTCATTCTAGCTTTCTGCCTTGGGCGGAGCCCTACCTATCTTTTCGGAGTTGTGTTGTAGCTGTGGATGATGTTTACTCGTATTCTTTTACTGCGTCTTCTGGTGTACCGCAAGGTGGCGTTCTGGGCCCTCTACTATTTGTAATTTTTATTAACGACATACGTTACTGCTTAGTCATTTTAACTGCATATGTTATCGCTAAGTCATATTCCACGCCTGCCTTCATTCGCCGTTTCAGTACAGAATTCACAAATCCTTACACCCTAAAGTTGCTGTCCACGTCTCTGGTGCGTTCCAAGTTGGAATATGCTGTCTTCATCTGGAGACCTTACTATGATTGTCCTGTAAATCGGCTCGAGCGTGTTAAAAAAGTTTTTGTTCGTTTTGCCATTCGCCTCTGCATTTTCATGATCCGTTTCCTTCTTATAATTATTCGAGATGTCTCTTAATTAACTTGAAGTCTTTAAACCAGTGACCGCCAAACACTTTCCTGGGAAACGAACTATATTCGGCCTTTCACATGTACACAATCGGCTTCTTACACGTACACAATCCGAACGTCAACAGAAAGAGTAGCAGAGCAACAAATTTTATTTAGCTGCATGCAAACAATAGGCGAAGCAGGTTGATGACGCATTTCCGTGCATTACCACCAACACATTCTCATTTTTTATTTCATAACTAATACATTCTCATTTTAAGACTTCTCTTTTTGGCGGACACTGCTTTAAACAGTAGAAGAACTATTCTCTCATTGACATTTATTTTTGACATTATGCGTGAAGCGATTGACTCGCCATATTTACTCGAGCATATTCGTTTTAATATCCCCTCTAGAAACCTGCGGAATCATGGCACGTTTGTATTAGATCGAGTTCGAACAATTTACGCATCTAATTCTCCTATAGCTAGGGCCCTGAATGAGTATAATACGTTCCCAAATACTATAGCTATGATTTCTCTCTGCCGAAAGATAAGTTTAAGTTGGTATTGAATGGATTAATTTACCTAGTTATTAGTATATTGTTCTTTGTTAATTTGTAAATAGTCCGTAACGAAATTTGTTCCATATTTTCTAGACTATAACTCATTAAATAAATAAATAAAAAAATAAAAATACTCGGTGTAGCCTTCGACAGTCTGTTCTCCTTCTCTGTGCACGCAACCGCTATTGTCAACAAAGTACAGAGCCGCAACAAGGTCCTCAAGTCGCTAGCCGTCAGTACTTGGGGAAAAGACAAAGAACCGTTGTTGGCAACATACATGGCAATAAGCCGGCCGGTTTTAAATTACGCAGCACTGGTGTCGTCGCCGGGGATTAGTAGGACGCAGTGGATGAAGCTGCAGACGACTCAAAACATTGCACTTCGGGCAGCGACTGCATGTGTTCTGGTGGCACCAGAACACCACCTGCATAACGAGGCGAAACTGCTCCCCATAAAGGAGCAAAACACAATGCTCTGCAAGCAATTCTTAGTAGGGAGCCACAGACGTGGGCATCCGAACAGACACCTGCTTGCAGAGAAGCCCTCGCCAAGGCATGTCAGAAGGCATCTATACGAACTGACGGACGAAGTCAGCTTATCGACAGGGCCTGAGCGGCATTCACAGGGAGTCAGTCTGGAGTCATGTAGACTCCAGACCTGTGAATGCCGTTCTAGGCACACATCTCATCTGCCTCGGGAGAGTAGCCGCTACAACAACAGCAACAACAACATGGTCCATGCCTCCGTGCCATATAGTAGCACAGGCATGATGAGTGCTTTTAGATTGTGATCTCTGCACGACAAGAGAGGACTTTACTTCTCAATTGCCTACTCAGTCCAAAGTAGCTCTTGTTGGCAAGAGTGATTCTCCATTGGATTCCAAGGCTGACGTTATTATTGGTGTTAATTCTGGTTCCCAAATAAACCGTCATTTTACACAGCCGTATTAGTTTCGCGGGGATATCAAATTCAGACATCGCGGCATAAAACAACATATTTTCATGCTGTCGAGAGCGGATTTGAAATCGACAAATAAATGGTGTGTGTCGATCCTATCCTCGCGGGTCTTTTCCAAGATTTGGCGTATTGTGAAAACCTGATCTATGGTGGATTTGCCAGGCCACACTGATAAGGTCCAATCAGTTCGCGTACGATGGGCTGCAGTCTTTCGCACCACACACTCTATAAGACCTTATAACCTACGCTTAGAAGGCTGATTTCGCGGTAGCTGGCGCGAATGGCGGGATCGGCTTCTTGTGGATTGGGCACAGCACACTAAGATTCCAGTCGTCGGGCATGCGCTCATCTTACCATATTCTGCATAAGAGTTGATGCATGCACCTTATCAACTCCTCGCCGCCGTACTTGAATAGCTCAGCTGGCAGGCTGTCAGCTCCAGCAGCTTTGTTGTTTTTCAAGCACGTTATCGCTATTCGTACCTCGTCATGGCCAGGGTGGTGGAACATCGACTCCATCGTCATCGACTGGGCGCTCGGGTTTGTCTTCTCCACTAATTTCAGCGCTGCTAACATTCATTAGGGTGGAGAAGTGTTCCCTCCATAATTTAAGTACATTCTGCACATCGTTCTCTAGGTCGCCATTTTTGTTCTTACAGGAGTTCGCCCTGGTCTTGAAACCTTCGGTAGTCGCCTAATCTTGTGGAAAAATTTTTGGGCGTTTTTCCTGTCGGCCAGCATCTCAAGCTCTTCACACTCACATATTTCGGACTCTCCTTTGTCTTCTTATTGCGGCAAATACCACATGGTTCGCGTTGCGCCCAACATTCCTCATCGTACCAGTTGTTCTTTCGGGCTCGCTGAAATCCAAATACTTCTTCGGCGGCGGTACTTAATGATCGGCAAATGTGAGAAAGTTTTTTTGTTTTTTCATAATATCGTATTATTGATCACTTTTAAAAAAGTACAAAATATGGGGTACTTACTTTTGCAGCAGCCAAATAGCTCAAAAATTAAGAAAACATCAAGGTTTAAAAAAAAATGCCACAAAATTATTTTCTTTACGAAATCTTCAAAATGTAAAAGTAATGCTATGAAAATTAAAAAATAATTAATAATAAGCAGAAAAACATATTTTATAATGAAGTAAGTTTTCGACATGCCATCGGACTGCCTACACGATTTGAAAAGGATCCAGTCTTAAGTAAAAGGAAAGAAAAGTCTTCTAGAAACGATTCGTTCCAATTAAGATAAGTTGTTTAGGAGCGACTGCTGTTGTTGTTGTTGTTGTTGTAGTGCCTAATACTAGGCGCCTAAGTGCGTGCTTTGTACTGCTGTATGTGCAAAAATTTCCTTCATTAAATTAATGATATTTTTGCACATGCACTTCTTAATTGGCATATAATAAAACTTTCTTAATTCAAATTTAAATAGACTGAAGTTTCAGTTAATTTGCTTTGGTGAAACCAGTTGCAGCTGTTGCCTCATAAGTTGGGCTACAGGACAGTCTAAATACTAAGCCTTCGACTTGTTTTTGCATATTTTGACGGGCGTTGAGCAACCTCGGCCAACGATAGCCAGCTAGTATCCACTAAAGTTCTAAAAATTTCGATGAAATTTTTTGGAAATTTGTTAAATTTTCCTGAATTGTCCACAACTTTGACTTAAAGATATGGTGTACTATATTTTTAAAAAATTTAAGTTATAAAAATTTAAAGTTACAAAACCTTGTGCACAAGTGCTCTTGGGTATAAAAATCAATGAAATTGATGTACTTACTTCCATCTTTGATGTTTAAAACTCGACGTTGGGTGACTCCATCAATCCCGTCGTCCACTTCGTAAAAGCCAAAGGTGTTGGAGCTATTTGATAGCAATATCCGGAATGGATTTATTGCTATGAAAGCGAATATAAAGACGCATAAAGTAAGTCGTGAATTAGATACATCACGAATAGCTGTTGACACACGCTTTATTTTACACGAATTTATACTTGCGGTAGATGCTTCAGATGGAGAGTACGGCAAAGAAATATCAGAATGAGTTGGTGATTGCGAAGAGTTCGATTCATCACTACACGGTGGGGTGATAATTATCTTATTATTGGGTGGTAGCACCTCATCTCTGAAAATGTTTTTGCTGTTTTTATTGACACAATCAATATTTATTCTTTTAGTTTTGCCATTAAATGTTGAGTTTAGTAAACTTTTGACTTTGCAACTGCTCTGATTTAAAAGTTCATTCTGAAGTCTCTGTATTTCAATACGCATTTCAGAATTCTGTTGTTGAAGATCTCGTATTTTATCAATTGATTTTCTTAAAATAGCCGATTTGTTGAGCTTTGCCGATTCTCCTATTATCAAACTCTTAAGCTCGGAAATTTTTTCATTTATTGAAGTTCGATAGCGTCGCTCAATAGCATTGTGAGCAGATCTTTTGACTTCTTTTTTCTTTGGTTGAATTCTATTAATTGGAATTTTATTCTCAACAGTTAGGGCTGGTTCAAATATGACAGGTATTTGAGATACTATTGAAGGGCCCCCTACAACCGTAGTTGAAGATACAGCGGCAGTGGAGAATATCATCGCCGAGTTATTTTCAATCAAAAAGTGCTGATCCGTTTGTAATTTTCCTATTGTGGATATGCCTGTCTGGTTTAACTGAAAATATTAATTAAAATATAAACGTTAATGCAAGAATTCGACTAGAAAATAAATTAAAATAAAATAGGTATAGGATGTCGCACACGTTCTTCCAACATTCGATTTTCTTTTATTGATATAGTCCGAGATCTCAGCGCCCCAGACCTATCTTATTTTGGAAGTAACAAAATTTGGAAAATAAGCAGAGTTATGTGTTTGAGAATGTATGAATATCTGCTTGCTTGATAGATGGCCCTTTTGCAGATGGCACGTAAAAAAGGTACGTAAAAACGTTACCTGCCTATGTTAAATTCGAAGTTGGTTGTTATATCGTCGCTACCATTTCAAACTATCGAATGTGCAATAATGCTTTTCAATTACGATATCTAGCCCATGCGTTAAGAATGAAACGCAAGTTGGCAAATCCCACACTTTTTCCTAATGACAACAACATTTTTTACTAAAGTTTTTTTGCTCCTAAAAAATACCTATTTTCACATTCGATAGTATGACAGGGTACCGACGATATATGATTTACACAATAGTGCTAAAAATTAATACTCAATAGAGCTGGGCACTTTAGTTATTTTGAGTGAACTATTCAGTTGTAGTTCGTTCACCTTAGTGAACTAGTTCTGTAGTTTTTATAGTTCATTTCCCTGCAGAAAAAAATTATCAATTGATAAAAAATAACTCACTTGTAGTTAGCTTTTTGCGAGATTTCTATAAAACATATAAGTTGTAGTTAGCTACAAAAAGCTAACTTGAAACTAGTTGACAAGTAATGCAGGAGTAATGAAGGAGATTTGTAACGACAGCCGATCGAATATGAATGCATGTATTTACATATATACCAGTAAATACATTTATATATGTATATGTATGAACATGTGTTTATATATGGGGCATTTCACCACAAGTGACCCAACTTTTGATATCGATGTCTTCCGATCAGTAGTTATGACACAAAATTTCAACGGGATCGGTCAAACACACTCCGAGGAGGGTGTAGAATTTTGACATTTTGGTCAAACGGCCATTTTTTCGGATCCATATAACTAATTACCTATTGTTTTAGAAATTTTTTTTCAGGAATGTTTTCGATAGATATATCTTCAGTCCTTACACATTTTATTTTTTTTTTTTAATTAAATAAATTTTTTTGAAAATTTTTTTTTAATAAAAAATAATTTTTGTTTTTTCAAAAAAGGGTATTTTTTAATTTTTTTTTTGCTCAAAAAAAAGCTTAGGTATTTTTCATTAAGAGCTTTGTGGTCGCTTAGTGGGATGCGACTTGTTTATCAATCAAAATTAGCGTTTAGTAACTCGAAACAGCGGTTTTTTTCATGTTTAATATATGACCTATTGTGTTCTTTTTTTTCGTATTATTGTGTAAGTGTTTCTGAAACCTGAAAATAAAACTTATATGAGAAAGTATATACAATTACCTTTCCAATGGTATATAACATGCCTAACCAAAGTTTCATACCCTCGATCAGCAATTTCCGTAGTTAAGGATGATTAAGATTTTTCGTAGTCTAACGCAGCAGGTATTTAATTTTGTGCATCCAAACACTTTATTAATAGCTTTGCAGAATTTTGAGTATTAGATTTGCATACCTACTAGCACAATATTTGAAAAGTATGAAGAAGATGGGATTTCCCGGTAGTTAGGGATGATTAAGATTTTGCTTTGTACCTAACCACAGCAGATTCGTGCAAACCCTTTCTCAATAGATATGCATACCTACTCGCGCAACCTATAAGTAGCTATAATAAATCAGCTATAGTTTATGAAGGCAGTGTATGGTCATTCTGAAGACCACTTTTTTAGAAAAAGCGCAGAAAGAAAAGCCAGGATTGCTAAAAAATTAGTTGCAGAGCATGGCATACTCACACTCCCAAACACAAAAAAAGGAAAACCTTTAAAGTGCAAAACTGAAGCTCTAGTGACTCAGTTTTATCAGCGCGATGATATGAGTCGCCTGATGCCAGGGATGAAAGACTGGGTGTCTGGACGAATTGACGGTAAGAAAATTCAAATGCAGAAGAGGATAATTCTCTGCAACCTGAATGAGCTATTCGCGAGCTTTCAATCCGAACACGAGGATATTAAAATTGGATTCACAAATTTTACTCAGCTCAGGCCAAAACATTACGTCTTGGCAGGAAGCATCGGAACTCATACAGTATGCGTTTGCATTTATCATGAAAATGTGAAGCTGATGTTGAAGGAAATCAACTTGAATTATTTAACAAATAATTCGCCGGATTTAAACAGTCACCGTGATTGCCTTAAATTGACAATGCGTCCTAATGTATCAACTTCTTGCCACTTGGGTGAATGCTCAAATTGCACGGGAACTACGTTCATCTAAGAGAATTTGATCAAGTCTTTTGACCGAGAATTTGTGGAGGAGGTCAAATTTGAATCTTGGCTGCAGTCTGAAAGGTGCACATTGAAAACAGTTATCTTAAGTGTGGACGATTTTGTGGAAGAAATTTGTACCGGATTGGTAAACTTGATAACCCACGACTTTATAGTCAAGGAGCAGCGGTCATTCTTCGAAAGTTTGAAGATACATTTGCAGGCAGGTGAATTCGTTATTTCATGCGATTTCGCAGAAAACTATAAATATGTTATCCAGGATGCCATACAAGCATTCCATTTCAATAACGAGCTCGTATCATAGATGCGATAGCTTTATTCCGGTGGGCAAAGAATTATTGTAAAGAAACTGAATTAATGTTTAGTAGCAAAGATGATCATACGGAAACTGCGATATCACTGAGGAGCAGATTCGATGCTGCAGTCCGATGGTACCGCTCAATATCATGCTTTCATACCGATTGGCGATGGAAGGCTCAAGTTAAAGAATTTTTCGTCCTCTACCCAATGTGATTTCTTTCCAAAAGCGAAACCCGGAGTGAAATCAACAGCAGAACCCAGTAACCCTAAGAAAGGAATGACGAAAAAAGCCACAAAGAAAGGTGGAAAATATGGTGGATGGAAGGCTGGCTATTAGAAAATTAACTATCTTGTATACTTTTTATGTATCTATTTATTAAATAAATTATTATCTATTATCTAAATAAATACAAAAATTCAAAATTTTCACCAATTCTATAGAAAAACAGTTATTTTATTCCAGAGGTGTACATATTGTGGGTATTATAGTGTAGAGGGTATACAACTTTAGTTGCTTGTTATATAGCGTTGGAAAGGTAATTGTATCTAATTTTTTATATAAGTTTTCTTTTCTGGTTTCAGAAACTCTTAGGTTATATATTAAAAATTAAAAAAAAAAACGCTGTTTCGAGTTACTAAATGCTCATTTTAATAGATAAACAACTCGCATCCCACTAAGCGACCTCAAAACTCTTAAAGAAAAATACCTAAGCTTTCTTTTGAGCAAAAAAGAAACAATCTTAATCATCCTTAACTACCGGAAAATCCCATATTCTTCATACTTTTTTAAATATTGTGCTAGTACGTATGCAACTCTAAAGCTCAAAATTCTGCAAAGCTATTAATAAAATGTTTGGATGCACAAAATCGAGTACCTGCTATGTTAGACTACGAAAAATCTTAATCATCCTTAAATACGGGAATTGCAGTATCGAGGGTATGAAACTTTGGTTAGGCATATTATATACCGTTGAAAATGTAATGGTGTATACTTTCTCATATAAGTTTTATTTTCAGGTTTCAGAAACACTTACACAATAATACGAAAAAATAAGACAATAGGTCATATATTAAAAATTAAAAAACCGCTGTTTCGAGTTACTAAACGCTAATTTTGATTGATACACAAGTTGCATCCCACTAAGCGACCACAAAGCTCTTAAAGAAAAATACCTAAGCTTTCTTTTGAGCAAAAAAAAATTTGAAAAGAATCCTTTTTTTTTGAAAAAACAAAAATTATTTTTTATTTAAAAAAAATTTCAAAAAAATTTATTTTAATTAACAAAATATATAATTTTAAAAGACTGAAGAGAAATCTATCGAAAACATTCCTGAAAACTTTTCTATATACAATGGGTAATTAGTTATATGGATCGATCCGAAAAAACGGCCGTTTGACCAAAATGTCAAAATTCTAGACCCTCCAACTCGGAGTGTGTTTGACCGATCCCATTGAAATTTTGTGTCATAACTACTATTTATTAGGACTAACCTTGGTGCAAATTTCATCCCGATCGGAAGACATCGATTTCAAATGTTGGGTCACTTGAGGTGAAATGCCCCATGTATATATTCTAAGCAAAACAAAAAAAGGCACTCTTTTCGAATAACCACTTAAGAGCTACGGTGAAATTCTGTTAACAAAAGAACTTCTATGTAAACAAAATAAAACTAACCACTTATAACCGTATGGAAAATCCAAAGTCAAAACAGCGGGTGCAATGCAACATGTTCGATGTCGTGATTTGGATGGAGCGATCTTGCTATTGGCTGAACTAGGCGCGTGTGGATGTGTGTGAGCGTAAACAAAAGGATAACTGAAGAAGCACCGCAACAAAACAAAGGCTGAAAAAAGGGTTTAAACACCTGGCAGAAGCCTGAAGCGTGATTCTTTTGAACAAGTCAATATTGAAAGCCGGAGTTGCTCAAACGCGGAGGCCTTTACTCGTCAAAAACGAATTAATCAAAGTTTAAAAATAAAAAGTAAAATTTTAAGTTACAAAAAAAACAGGCGTTCCTGTATGAAAGTGCTACATTTTTGCTAAACCCGGGTCGCGCTAACGATATAAAAAGTAACGCTAAGTGCCCGTCGCGAAATATACGCCCGCGTCAAGACCGGCGACAAAGCCACTACGAGAAGGACTACACCCAGCCACACTCGAGCGGACGGCCATAATTCCCACTACGAGGCCACACACACACGTCCACACTCCAGCACCAGCGTCCAAAATTACAACTTGGAAGCTTTGCACGCACACACACAAATACACCGGTAACAACAGCCAAATCATCCAGCCAAAGTGCCCGAATGCCAATCAAAAGGGGGCAA